CCCCCCCCGTGCGCGGGCTACCTTATTTATTTCATGAGGCGCGCAACGAAGAGGCTCGAGGGAAGCTGGAGTTATCTCGCTATAATCCGCAGCGCAGCCTGCGGAGCCCAGGAATTATCACGTCATAATTTTCGGTAAGGCCCCAGCGCAAGTCAACGTTAGTTAACTTACGTCAAAGCTCAGCCTCGTGTTCGCGCCCGCAGACCGCGTAGCTCGCCGACTCTCGCCTTTCGCCAGTTCACTCCGCCTCCATCTTCCCGTTCGAGTTACTGTACTACCCCCCTGACTGTACCACTTTATAGTGACTAATGGCAAAGTAGGATTTGGTGGGCCTGGCAACGAAGCTACAAGACGGGTGCGCCGCCACGGGGCCGGCCTTGACCCAGGAATTCGAACCGGGCTCGGTACGGGACCGGTTCCCGCTAACACGCGCCGTTTAATACGGGTCGCTAGGGAACACGAGCCAGGCTCATTATTTCCAAGCTCATTTATTATAATACACAGCAGCGTACAATTCCATTAGCCGCTGGCCCTCGAGTTGCGGGAAGAACGTTTTGTAATTGTTTGTTGTGTGTGGTGATGGGGACGACAATGTGGCAAGGACATAGGCGCGAAATCGGGGTTAGTTACTGATCGTGATTTAACTGAAAATGCCTTGTCCAGGCGGGAAGCTTTGGCGTCTGACTGCTACCAGGAATGCGTATAGACCGCGAATAATATTACTGATTTAGGGATTCAATCTGGCGTCTGACTGTCCTGGAAGTTGTGCTGGTCTGAGCGCTGCGTCGCCCATTGCCTGCTGCGTGCCTTAGTCGGCTGCGCTGGGTACCCTGCGCTGGCTTGGGCATTATGCATTCTGATTTTATCTAGTCGTCCTCCTCCTCGGTAGTCAATATTTTGATTAGCTCGTCGGCCGTCGCGGCGTCGAGTCCTGTGGCGGCGTCAGTCCGCATGCAGCGCGCTTGCAGCACCGTCTGATTGTTGTAACATTTTTTTCAATTAAAAGCGGCTCAGCAGTTTGCAACAGGTCTGGGTCTGAGAGCTTCAT